ACACTTGGTTTTGTAAAAATAATGAAAATTGAATCTGATAAAATCAAAATATATTTGTTTTGAACTGCAAGCATCGAATTATTCAAATTGCTTGTTAAAAAATAACCTTATTGTTCATTCGTTAAAATGTAATTATCATCTTAGTTCAACTTGTACTTCTAAATGTAAAATACTTGAAAAGGTAAATGAAATAAAATATCTTGGGATAATTGTTGACTTTAGATTTAAATGGGAAAGTCATATAAATTATATTAATAATACTTTACGTAAATTCTTCTACTTTTTTAAAGAAGCTAGATACTTACTTAATAATTATTATAAAAGAATGATTTTTCTTTCACTAGTTCAATCAATTTATTCCTATGGTATTTCTATTTGAGGAGGAGCCGCAAATAATGTTTTATCGAAACTTATAGTTACTATTAATGGAATTATCAAATTTTTACTTAATCTTCCCACGACAACTAGTACATCATTGATTTATAAGGAACTTAATGTAAAGCATTTAATATGCATTTACAAATCATCGGTTTTGGTCGATTTATATAAACATAAAAATTTAATTACATTGCTAGATCACGAGCACAATACGAGATATAAAAAAAATATTAATATACTGCTACCAAACCTGAATAAAGTATTTGGTCAACATAGTATATTGTACACGGGTTTGAAATTATGTCGTTCATTAAATATTAATATAAACAACTTTGAAAATGTGTTAATATTTAAAAATTATGTTAACCATTTAGACCTATCTACTATCTAGTTTGTAATAGTCAAAAGTTATAATAATACAACTATTTTTGTTTTTAACTTATTGTTATTTAATTTATGTTGTATTAACTGTTATTTTATTTTGTTTGTGATGTATTCATTTTAAATAATAAGAACCGCGCCCCCAGCACAAGCTTTGCTTATAGGGGTGCTGCAATATTTAACTCATATTTTTTTGTAAATAATGTATATATTCTGTTGTTGCAATAAACATTATTATTATTATTAAATCAGTGTGAAGTGTGTGATTTGAGATGTAAAAAGGTGCTTTTGTAATCATTCGTAATGTTATAGATTGAAAACGTTGTATTTTATTAATGTTTGACTTCTTAGCAGAACCCCATAGTTGGATTCCATACGCCCACATCGGTTTTGTATAATAGGAGTTTGTTTTTAAGGCTAATTGTGGAGTTTTTACCGAGGAGCATATGGAGGGATTTCCGTCTGATGTTTAATTGGATTCGTTTTTTTTTTAGGTGTTCGGCCCAGGTTAAACGTTTATCTAGTATTAGACCTAGGTAACGTACGTTAGATGTTTGAGGAATGATTTTATTGTTTAGAGTTACTGGGGGAATTGTATTTTGTTTGAGACTAAATGTGATGTGCGAGGACTTTTCATTGTTAATTTTTATTCTCCATTTGGAATACCACGGTTCCATCAAATTAAGGTGGGTTTGTAGATGTTGGGAGGCAGTTTTTGGGCTATCGTGCGAGGTGAACATGGGCGTTCTCACGGGGGGGGGTATGGGGGATAGATCCCCCCCAAGGTTCTTTATTTTTTTTACATATTAGTTTTGTCTACTTTTGATGTGTGTTTGTGTTTTCAAAATTGACTTGGTAGTTATTATTTTATTTTTTTTTTTGCAATTTTTCTTTATCGTGATTATTGATTCCACCAGCCATAAACAATATTATTATTTATCACTGATAATTATAACATGTAACAGGCAATTCGCTTTACAATTGATTTGTACTGTATTTTTGTAAACAATCACTCCGTCAACTTTATAAATTCCCAGCGTCTGAAAAAATGTAAAGGTAAGATACACAATGATAACACCACAGTGATAAAATAAAATAAATAATTTAATCTAGAGATGGAAAACGTTTTTAAAAAACGTTAGTAAACGGAAAAAAAACGAAAACAATGAACAAAACAAAAACAAAAAACCATAACAAAAAATCCCAAAAACAGAAAAAAAATTAATTACGAAATCAAAAACGAAAACGCAAATAAATTATAGTATTATACATTATTATATTAATAACAAGAAAAAAAACATGTTACTTAAGTATTTACTTTTTAATCTTTACCAAC